CATGGTGCCTGCCAGCACGCATAGTGTTCTGAGTTCAACTCAGAAAAAAAAAAAAAAAAAAATTGCAACCAGAAGTCACTGGGTTAAAAGTGAGCATTTAAGGCTCTTGATAAGTGCTAACCAGCTGTTTCTCCTAACTGCACACGATTAAAGTTGGCTGAGGGAGCAAATTATTCCCAAGAGAGTTGATATCTGGGCCTCTTAGTGACACACACAATAACAAACAAATGAAAAACAGAATCCTTGAAATATTTCAAAATAAAAGTAATTTTGGAGGTCACTGAAATTTTTGTGCATGTAATTAGAAACAGAACAAGAGCCAGGTGCTCTGGGGCCAGCACGACCGCAGGGGGCCGGGGGCCCTTCGTTCTGGCCCTGGATGGGCATAGGCTTCCCTGTTGTCTGGACCAAGCTGGTTCCGGGGTAGCTTGACATCAGCATGCCTGCAGTTGGCAAGGAAGTGGTGGCTGCACACCTCTTGCAAAGACATGGGGCTGATCTCTAAGCAGTGGCTTCTCCTCTCTCCTGCCAGCTACACAGTGGGGACGGTGCAGGAGAACAATGACCAGGTCTGGAAGTTCCAGAGGTACTTCCTGGTGCAGGAGTACTGCAGCCGCCTCAACATCCCCTTCCCCTTCGTGGTCTTCGCCTACTTCTACATGGTGGTGAAGAAGTTCTTCAAGTGTTGCTGCAAGGAGAAAAACCCAGAATCTTCTGCCTGCTGTGAGTGGCCTCCCCACGATCCCAGGTGCAGAAGTAGTATGTGATTTTGGCAGGATGTGAGGACCTTAGTGTAACAGGAAGGAATTATTAGCAGTCTGTTCACTGACACCTCTGTACATCTCTTGAGGTCAGGCATCAGGCCAGAAAGAGTAGACAAAATAAGGAAAGATAAAGGCCTAACTGGATAGTTTTATTTTGGGAAACTATCTTTCAGAAACTAAATAATAACATAAATAGTCTGATAAACTAGCAGAATTCATGGACTGGTGTCACAGCATGACTAAATATTCAGCATGGCAAGGTAGTATGTTTTGGGGTCGCATGTCCTAAACCATATAACATCTGTAACTTAGGCAGCCACCAAAAACCAATGAAAGGCTCTCATTAGATGTCTAAGAAGTAGGATAAAAGTTGGAAAAGAAAATGATTGAGTTCCTAGAAATTCCAAACGCAACAGCCTACCAACTTCATTTCCCATAGTCCTCTTGGGGAACGTTTCTCTAATGATCCCCCACTCAGCCTCTCATCTGCATACTTACTGTGCTTCTAAATTTAAAGATGGTGTAAGGGCAAGGATGGAGAGCAACTGCATGGGGAAGTGAAGCAAGGCATGAAAAGGAAACCACGGCCTCCCTTAGCAGACGGAAAAGCAAATGCTGTAGATACAGTTAGATGGCAGGAAGCGTCCGTTCCCTCACAGATGAGTCCAGTTCTCAGGACGCAGCCATGGAGAAGGCCCATGGCCTGGCCTCCCGAGCTGTGGTTGGTTGGTTGGTTGGTTGGAGCCAGACCTAAGCTGGAGCAGACAGTATCTTGGGAGCGTGTGACGCAGGGACGAAATGGACCTGGGGAGTGATGGCTGTCCTGTAGCCACTGTGTGGCAGCCAGGCATTGTGGATGCAGTGCTAAGTAGAACAGGATCTACCTGAACCATTGGTCAGACCAAGAGGCGAGGGCTAGGATAGCAGTCAGGATGTGAGCCGTGGGCAGCAACAGCAGGGAGTGGACAGAGGTGAGATGAGAGGAGAGAGGAATTCCCAGGACGCAAGGCTGAGAGAAGACCTGGGCATGTCTCACAGCCAGAGTCACACAGGCCCCACTGAGTCAACTTGAATCCCTGGGGAAAGTAAGCACGGAGACAGGAAACACACCAGTGCAGTGAGTGGTGACAACTATGAAACGTGTGCCCCAGTACCTCTTGGATGACTGGACTTGCTCCCTCGAAATCAGTGGGACAGAGAAGCTCCAGGGCCTGTATGGAAGCGTTCTCAGCTTTCTTGGTGAAGTTGTGCCCCTCCAATCCTGGTGCTCCTTTTGGTGACTTGGAGGACAGCAACCATGGTAGGGCGCTGTGGAGAGGGAGGACTCTGAGACGTTTCCTCCCCCAGGAGCACTGCTTCCACTAAAGGTGTTTGTCAAATGCAGAGAGTTGAGGGCAGTTGTAGGTGCGGGAAAATCTTCTGTTTTCCACACTGAGTTTTGCCAGCACAAGCTAGCCTCTCTTCCTAGCCATCCTCAGGGCTGGTGTCTTCCACTGGCCGCTGGGGATGGGGGTGTGTTCTGGTCTTCCTCCCCTGACTACCCTGATCCTGTTCCATACTGGGGTGATCATTCCTACCCCATTCTTAATACTACAAGTATTTTGCTGGTTCAGAAAGTGAAAGCACAAGTCCTACTTAGTAATTAGTGGCACCTAAGAAAAAGATCAACTCGACAAGAATTTTTGGCCTGAGGTTCCTTATGTAGGAGTGGAAGCAACATGCCCATAAGTCAGATCTTAAATAGTGGGCCGAATCTACTTCTGTGCCCTCCCTGGAACTCTTAACCTCCTGCCAACTGGACTTCACAATGCAAATGTGCCAACAATACCCAACCCTGTCACAGTTTAAACAATCACCAGGGTCGGCTCTCTTGATGGCATTATTTCAAGACGTTATGTGTCACTTTTGGGGTGTCAGTAACTATCACACATGTCATTGCCTCTCTTGAAGCAAACATTTTGGTGATTTGCGAAGGTTGCCATGTCTTACTCTGTGCTTCTGCCTAGGAAGACAAAGCGAGCCGTTTCTAACTAAAGGAATTTAAAGCACCCCTATACCAGGGATGAAGGCTGAAGGCTCAGATCTGTAATTTCAGTGTACCCAGAGACCGTGTCCAAGAGTCAGAGGCACTTGATCACATGGCCCCGGGCCTGTCTTGAAATCACGTTAGGGATGAGTGTCCGTAGGACCTGAGAGGGGGCTCAAGGGACTGGCGCATGGCTTTGGAAGGCTTACAAGTTTGCTATAAATGGGCCCAGAGAAGAAAACAGTGGATAAAAGTTTCAGTGAGAAAGATCTTTGACTCGGTAGAAAGAAAAAGGAATGACTAACAGCCGTCTGGAAATGAATGAATTGCCCTCCGAGGTGGTGAATTGCCGCTGGGCGCTGGCGGCAGAAGGGCTGAACGGGATTCTGTTTCGCTCAGCCCAGGATCAGTGGAATCCGGAAATGCAGTGCACAGGAAGATGGATCGCCCTTCCAGATTTGGGGTGAGATTCAGCTGACAGGATGAAAAGCAACACCTTCTCCCCAAGTCTACTCAGTGACCAAGTGTAGTATGAACGGGGGATGGGCACACATTTTCCCCCCCCCCCCCCCCCCCACCCCCGGAAGCGGAAGGACAGCTCGGGAATGACAGCTGCGAATCAGGACCCGCCTGTCCTCCAGCCCCTGCGGCAGTCGTAGGGGCGTGTGAATGCTTTTGCTTCCTCCGGAGGCTCTACTTCTGCAGAAGGAACAAGGAGCCCGCCAGGCGGGAGTCCCCAGACCTCAGGGCCCCTCGCCCGGATGGATGGCGCGGTGGCGGCCGCAGAGAGCAGAGCCCGGCTTCCTGCGGCCCGACGTGCCCGCGCCGCGCACCGCCCCTCGCAGGGTCTCAGCTCCGGAAGCCGCTGTGTTTTCCATCCCGGATGGACGGTTCATTTCCTAAATGTGCTTCGCATTTGCCTCCATTCCGTGTGGAGGTCGAGAGTTTAATTTACTTTGAAATTGCCTGTCCTTGGAGGGCAGCGAAAGCTTTTTCAAATAACTTTTAGAAAAGCAGAATCCAGATTTTCAGTTTTGGTACTCACTTGGGGGATATCTTCAGGCTATATAAAGGATGCTGCCCAGTAATTGCATTTTTACAAAATGTATGTATTTTTTGCAATTCAAAGAGCAATCTATATTCATTACAGAACATTTGAAAAATACAGAAATGTACAAATAATGATCACAGGGACATGTAGCCAACAAAAAAGGAAAAAATATATTGGCAGCATTGCGGCATATTTTTCATTCTTTTTAAAAAATATTTATTTAGTACAAGGTCTTCAGAGGCTCACTTCAGATCTGACTCGTAGTGATCCTCCTGTTTTCAGCCTCCCAAGAGCTGGGATCACACGTAGGCACCACCACGCCCAGTCTCAGTCACAGTCTCGGCGCACCCCGGGGCCTTCATTATTCTTGTGTGGATTCGGAGTAACTGAATTGCCGTCTGCACACACACTCAATTTAATTTGTTCATTTATCTAATAATACACAATAAACATTTTCAATATCTATGAAAATATCTAGTACGTAAAATAGATGTCTGTTTTCTAACAGTCTGATCTACCTGGATTTTGATTTTTAACCCTGTAATCACCTCGCCAGGGCTGTACCATAATTAACCAATCCCTTGTTGTCATGCTTTTAGGTTGCTTTGAGTCTTATTAGCAGATGCTGCGATGCAGAATTTCGTGTGTGCTTTTCGGATTCTCTCCATCATTGTTCTTTGAGTTATTTCTGGAGTGGACCCTTCTAGATAAAGAGTGTGCCCAGCTGGGGTGCTGCCTGTTCCCTTCTTGCCTGTGCCCTCCACCACACACTCTTCCCATCCTGCAGGCCGCCTGCTTCCCCACATCCTTCCCAACACAGAGCACAGGGATGATTCTAAAGCCTGCTGATTTTCCAGGATGAGAGATGAGGACACTGCCACCACTTCCGCATACACCGCCCTGCCTGGGACAGCGCCCGGCTGGCTTCTCCTGGTTGTCTGTCATGCTCGTTCTCTTTCCGTCTGTGCTCTGGAGCTTCAGTCTTTCTGTGTTGATTTTTAAGTTCTCCTCTTTTGCTTCCACATGTATTTTAGTTTGAATAAAAGATGTTGGGAATACATTGCTGGGGCCAATATAAATTCTCAAAATGTGGTTAAGAACTATTTTGTAAACTGAAATACCACCACTTAAAGATAAATTCATATAGTTGGGTATGGTAGTACACACATAGAATCCCAGCTTCTTGGGAGGCTGAGGCAGGAGGATTGCAAATTTGAGTCTGACCTGGACAATTCAGCAAGACCTTGTCTCAGTAAAACGTGGGGGCCAGGGTAGGGTATAACCCACACATACAGTGCCCTGGCTTCGATCTCCAGGCTGCTTCCCGGAAATAAACTTGCTGAGCTGGGATCTGTGTGAATCGAAGCATTACATATTGATTCTTTGAGCCTCAGTTAAATCTTTTTAAACACAGGAAGATGCTGTAATTCCCAGACTCTCACATGATGATGAGTATGTGTGAATGGTAAGTTAAAAGTGCAAGCTGCTCAAGTCCATTCCCAGCAGGCCCTGGCACAAACACATGTGCTTTCCCATGCTCACGGATTCATGGGGCAGGGGGGTGTCCGCTGCACTCGTACCTGGAATGTGGGTGAAGGGACCGTTGGCTCTTTCGCTTGTCTGCCATCCGGTATTGTAAGAAGCTGGACTGAGATGGGAGCATGTCGCAGGCCACTTTCCACCCTGACCTGGCTTGGATGAAAGAGAAAGACCAAAGTGAGAATATTTTTTCAGATCCACACCCAGACTGTGTGTTTGATAAGAATGGCAGCAATCTCCTCGGCTTATATTCCTCTCTCCCAAAGCTCTCGCTGCTGTTTTAGGTGGCCTGTTGGGGAGCCACCGGCAATCACCCCACTGCATGGCTGAGCATTTATATGCCATCGAAGCAGAAAAGGAGCATATGCCATCCCACGTGAGGACCACATGCTTCAGTGGGGTGATTTTGCTAAGTTACAAAACACACAGACAAGATTAGAATTGATCAGTATTCGGAGTAAAGATTGAGTGCTTGTTCTATTCAAGGAGCTCTGATTCTTCATCAATACCCAGAAAGCCATTAATATCCCATTGCCCCGGGCAGCCACTGATGGGCAGTGGCAGTGAGCTCAGCCAGGCAGAGCCCCACTTTTCTAGTGCCCAGGTCTTACGAGATGCCCAGCAGGTGTTGATTTAGAAAAGCAAGAGGCAAGAGGCAAATGGAACAACTTGAATGTCTTTCTTTTCTCATTATTCCAGGTTTCAAAAATGAGGACAATGAGACTTTGGCATGGGAGGGCGTCATGAAGGAAAATTACCTCGTCAAGATCAACACGAAAGCCAATGACAACTCAGAAGAGTATGTGTTGTATGTTATGGGTTGGTGCCAAAAGAAACGATGAGAAGACCTGATAAATGTAGCTTTAGAGGTCTCACTGAGATTAGTCTCTCTTATGCTTTAACAGAATTTTGATCATACAGTGGCCTTTGGAGGCCACCATTAGACCTTTTATTATTTAAATGAATGTCAAATTAAGTGACTGTTTAAACCCCATGGCTTTTACACATTATTTTAAGCCTTTATATTTGTTTGTAAAATATCAAAGCCCTATTTTAATGTCATGTTTAATTTAGGACAGTAAAACAAGCAATCAAACTTATTAGGAATTAAAAAAATTTTAAGTAGTGTTTTAAAATATGTTGGGGCAGTGACCTTTTACCTTGGTAGTTATTTTACCTGGAGGCCACCCATATTTGCATTTGAAAAGCCATTAAAATGTTTTTTCTTTAATTTTTATTTTTTAACCCACTATTTTTTTTAACAATTTTAAAATTTTTAGCAAAAATGAATGATTAATTGTGCAATAAAAGAATCTGTGTGGTTTAAGCCATGGTTTGGTTGGATAGAATTATAACTTTGATTTTTCTGTATAAACATTAATTACACCAAAAAAAACCCTTGTAGACCATTTAGCACCAGGGCTCTGTCATTGGTTGATTTTATTCTATAGGTGTGCTGCCCAGCTGCTAGGAGCAGCTTAATGGTTTTAGTACCTATAAAGGGTTTTTTTGTATGTCATGGTCATGACCCACCTACTTAGCACCAGGAACACAGGCCTCTGCAGCTGAACCTACCTTGTACTTGTTGATCTGGGTCAACCTAGGATGAGAGTGGATGGGAGCACGGGGCCCTCCCGATCTCAGTTTGTCCCTTTCCCCAGGCTGTGCCTCGAAGTGAAGAACCTGAGATATTACACTTTTATACACTTTTATGGGGCCTTTTTTTTCTCACATGGAGGAAAAGAAGGGTTAAAAGATGGCAGTAGAGGCTGATTTTTTGTGAACTGAAAAGGAGAAACTGTAGGGGTAGAGACCTCCATTTTTTAAAATTAATTTAGAAAGCAATTGTGATAATTGCCTTACCTTGGCTCGCAGGTCACTTATCTCATTCTTAGGTGTTTTTTTTTGTTGTTGTTGTTGTTGTTTTACATACTCCAAATTCTCAGATTTTGAGGAGATGGTCTGTGAAGCCATAAATGTCCTTTTAGGAGCTGGTTTGTCAGACTCATCCCCAATATAGCACATCGAGAAATTTAAAGGACTAACACTCTTGGTATACCGGGGAGCGCCTTTTAGTAGTTGGTCTTGAGGGGGTGCAACCTTATCGTAATTATGCACCACAGAGGCCCCCTGCTCTGTTTTTTTTGTTTTGTTTTGTTTTGTTTTTGCTATGTTGGCCTCTGCATTTGAGAGTGAGGAAGGCAGAGGTCTTAAAAAGGTCTCATGTGTAGATTTATATTTGTGCGGAAGCTGCTCTTGAGGTTTAAGAATATCAGCATCTGAAACTGACCCTTTCAAATATTTCTTAGACTCTTCTGAGTCCAGTTGCAATGGCTCCAAGGCTAAGGAAATTAAACTACAAAGAGCCCACACATGAAGAGGAATTGTTTCCTCATTTTGATGAGCACGATGCAGCGTTCTCCTAACTTGTTTCTAAACTTTTAAGTTTGAAGCAGCCTTTCCCTTAGGCTGAAACCAGTAACAATGCCTGTTTATAAAGGAAAATAAGGGGCTGGTGAGATGGCTCAGTGGTCTAAAGCACCTACTTAGAACAAGCTTAGCAAAGCACAGGGACCGAGGTTCAATCCCCCAGCACCACATGCCAGCCAGCCCCGCCCCTTGGTGGGCTGAGCTGGCCACACACACACACACACACACACACACACACACAAATAAATTTTAAAAATAAAGAAAAATAATTCCTTGAAACTCTTTGGTTTCACCTTTACACCCGCTCCTTTGAGTAATATCCGAATAAGACGGACATATTCATTCTCTACTGAAGTGGAGTTCCCCATTACTCTGAGCCTTTCCCGGTGGTCTCGCCTGCTCTGGGCATACATTTCCCACGCAGTCAGGCCTCTCTTAACTCACCCCTGGTCGTCTTCCATGCCCCACGTTGGGTGCCACTTGTTGTATGTTACGGGTCGGTGCCGAAAGAAAGGACGAGAAGACCTGATGAATGTAGCTTCAGAGGTCTCACTGAGATTAGTCTCTCTCCAAGTGAGCCCAGAGCTTCAGAAGCATCTCACATTGGAATGTGCATAATTATCTAAGTGAATACAAACTACTATCTCTATTAACTTCCACCATTTGCCTAACACTAGGTTTACACAAATGCTAGCCGATAACATCCCAAGCAAGGGATCAAAGGACATTGTGTCTGCAGGAGAAACTGTTATCTGAAGCCTTGAATCCAGCTTTCTGGGAATTTGTAAACAGACAGCAACTCTCCTTGGGCCCTGTCTATTGTTCCCTGCTTTCTTGGGATGTCAGGCTTTTGTCTATATTTCTACAAGTATGGCAGTTGCTTGATCCTCCCCTGCAAATCCCCCCACATCCGGAAGCTGGCAGAGTGTAGACAGCTTATTTGTACCTGCTCTGTAAGGAGCACTTGCAGGAGGCAGCAGTAGTGCCAGTAGGCATCACCCAGGTGATGGAGGATCACACACACACACACACACACACACACACACACACACACACACACAGAGTGTTTGCCAGCCTTCCAAGAAGGGAAAAGCCACCCCTGTGATCCTGGTTGTCCTTCAGAGTCCTGGGGGAGAAAGAGGTAGTTGGAACCAGCAGTGAGGAGTCAGGTAACAAGAGCCAACTCTGCAGGGATGGGTTCCAGGAAGCTCTGCAGGTCACGGGCAGATGGCTTTATCTTGCGGGGCCCTCGCACCTGTTTATCTCTTTGGTGCCGAAGTACAGCGATCAGAAGACGGAAACACACTGATGGATCTGCTATAAGCTCTCCCTGCAGTCTTGAGTGTTAGTTTTGAATTGCATAGAGTTGTTCTAAATACCCACGTAACTGATAAACATAGTCATTGAACATCTTATAGACACGGCTAAGTTTCAGCTGAGTCTCCCAGCAGTCCGCAGTAATGGGTCATGACTTCTATAAAAGCCTGTCTATCCCACTATGGAGCCTAGCAGCCTCCGCAGACAGCTGTCAGTCCTCCTGCAGGTGCAGACCCCCCGCCCCCCTGCACCCCTCCAGTGTGCTGTGGCAAAGAGCAAGTGAGTGGAAGCTCAGGGAAGCCATTGCTAGGCTCCACATTGCTGACAGCCACACCAGACGCACTCACCTGGAGCAGTGGCGCAGTGCCCCATGTTTCCTAGACTCTGAGGCTGTGGGGAGGAGGAGGATGGGCCTTACAGGTGGTCTTTCCCTGACCATCAGGGGCCGTGATTATTTTCTGTACCTCTCATTGTGGCAAGAAGGGATTCTGATCTGGTTGCGTATTAGCAGAGGAATCCAAGAGGTGAATGCAGCTGGCCCTTGATTGAGCTGAAAATGAGAATGACCTGTGTTCTGCCCCTTTGAAGACTGAAATGAGGCCAAAGAGCCCTCTCTCAGACTTTCTTTCTCATTTCTTTGCAGAATGAGGCATCGGTTTAGACAGCTGGATACAAAGGTATGGTTCTATTTATTGTTTTTGGAACTTTAAAAATATCTCTAATATCTGAGCTTTCAGTTAGAAGTCAATAGTGACAGTGAGAAAGCAAAGGAAGTTAATCGTTTAAAAAATAAAAAAACAAGCAAACAGAAGGGCTGGCAATATAGCTCAGTGGCACAGCACCTGCCTGGCAAGCATAAGGTTGTGAGTTCCACTCCTGGCACCAAACAAATAAGACAGAAGGGGCACTTGTCCATATGAAGTCTTCTTGCTTTATTAGCTATGAGCTGGGGGCTGGAGCCAAATGGTTTCTCATGCTTCCGGCCACTTAGAAATACCACACCTCTGACCTTTAGGTCACCTGTGTCTCTGGGTAACCAGGGCTCTCTCCTTCTGTCTGCTGTGGAGGCAGGTGAAGAGTCTGCAGTTACAGGGATCCGCCAGAGATCTCAGAAGAGCTGTGGCAAGCCTGTGAG